CAGTGCGCGGCCGTAAGCACCCAACTCTGGTCCACCAGGACGCCCGCGCAGTGGAACGCGAGGCCGTTGAAGAGCGAGACCTGCCAGGGCTGGGAGCCGCGCGCGCATGGGGCGCCGTAGGCTTCGGGGTCCAAGCGCGTGTCGTTTTGGGGGAGCAGCACGGCCTCCGCGGCTGGAGAGAGAAGATGAGATCAGAGCCTGGAGGGCAGGGGCTGGGATCGGAGCTGGGCTGTGGGGCTGGACTGGGTTTCCCACGAGGCGCGCAGCCAGAACGGGAAGCTGGTAGGGAACAGTTGGGGGTTTCGCGTGCACCGACGGGAACGGGAGGAGAAGCGCGTGAAAGTGGAAGGAAGCTGGGAAGGGTGGCGAGGAGTAATGAGACAGGATAGGGTGGGTCTGGAGGGCAGGGGCTGAACGCAGCGCGCCAGGAGAGCTGGCTAGAACGCAGCCCGTCCGCAGAGGGGCGGAGACGGAACGCGGAGGGGAGGTCAGGGAGCGGGGATAGAACTCGGGGTGCCGGGAGGAGAAGGGGTGGGAATAACAAAACGGGATTGAACATCGGGGATAAGGGTGGGGTGCAGTGGTTTACGCCTGTAATCTCGGTACTTTGAGAAGCCGCGGCGGTTGGATTGCTTTAGCCCGGGAGTTCAAGACCAGCCTAGACGACATAGCAAACCCAGTGTCTACAAACACACACACGCACACACTAGCCGGTCGCGAAGACCAGCCCCGGCAACATAGCAAACCCAGTGTCTACACACACACACACACACACACACTCACACTAGCCGGTCGCGAAGGCGTGCGCGTGCAGTCACAGCTGCCTGATAGGCTGAGGTGGGAGGATCGCTTGAGCCCAGGAGGTGGAAGTTGCAGTGAGCTGAGACTGGGCCACTGCACTCCAGCCTGGGCGACAGAGTAGACCCTGTCTCATTAAAAAAAAAAAAAAAAAGCCGGGTGTGGTGGTGCATGCCTGTGGTCCCAGCTACTCCGGAGGCTGAGGATAGCTTGAGCCCAGGAGGTCGAGGCTGCAGTGAGCTCTGATTGGGCCACTCTACTCCAGCCTTGGCGACAGAGCACGACCCTCTCTCAAAAAAAAAAAAAAAAAAAAAAAAAAAAAAAAAAAAAAAAAAAAAAAAAAAAAAGGAAAGGAAAGAAAAAAGAAAGAAAGAAAAAGAGAGAAAGGGAGGGAGCAGGCAAAAAGCGGTAAGGCGAGACTTCGGATAGAACAGGTCGGTGTGTAAGGGAGGGGCCGAGAAGGAGGAGGAGAAAGAACGCGGCGAGGAGTCCACGGAAAAGCGAGGATCCGGGTGGCCGAAATCGGACGGGGTCTGAGTGGGGCAGGACCCCCAGGGGCCGAGCCAGAAGAAGGGCCCAGCTGACTTGGGGGCGGCCACTGCCCGGAGCGCTGAGTGGGTGCTGGGGTCCCGGGGCAGGAGAGGCGCGCGGGGCTTGGTGACCGGAGCGCACTCTCCTCCCGCCCGCGCCTCTCGCCGCCCCCTGGCCCCCGCCTCACCCCAGAACTGCGTCAGCAGCAGCGGCAGCAGCTTCGCCAGCGTCCTGGCGCCAGAGGCGGCGGAGAGGTGGAGGAGCCGGGGTCTCATGGCCAAGATCTGCTGGGGTGTGTGTGTTGGGGGTTAGGTTAAAACAGATACTCCGTTAGAGACCCCCCCCCCCCACCTCACCGTGCCCATGCGCCCAGCCTGAGCCACCCCAGCCCGCGAGCACCCTTTTGCCCAGCAGGGGCGGGCAGACGGGAGATTCTCGGACTGGAACGGCCGTAATGAGCGCAATTACCATAATGATGCCCCTCGCTGCACCTTCCTGCCCTCCCTGTGCCGGAGGGGAGCGCTCTCCGCGCCCCGGCTTCCCCGGCTGCAGCCACGCCGCGCCCAGGGTTTCCTCCTCCTCCACGCGCGGGGTAGGGATCCGAGGCTCTGAGCCAGTGAGAGCCTCTTTCTCAACCTCTCAGCGGGGGGACTTCCGCGTCCCGCAGATAGAGAAACGGAGGGGGTCCCCACCCATCCTCTCGCAATCCACCCCCACCCGGGTGGGGTGCAGGCCGCTTCACCTGGGAGTCGCCGATAGGAAGGAGGGAGGGAACCCCGGCGTGCCTCTGCCCTGCCCGTGGTCCGCTGCAGGTGTCCTCTGTCCAGGGACCCCTGGCCGGACCTTCCCTTTTAACCCCGAGGAGTCCGGAAGCTTCTCCACCCTCCCCCACCCCTCCCCGAGGCTCCCTCCCTCCCTTTCCCTCTGTCTAATTATACGGTGGGTGAGGCTGGCACTCCTGGGTCCCAGATTCCTGCTCTGGGAGGCGCCCTGGAATACAGGCTTCTCCCGGTGCCTGAAACACACCCCCTTTCATCCCTTTTGGAGCTGGCTTCCGTGGGGATTCCCCAAGTCCCCGTTCCAAGACGGCTTCCCGGGTGCGGGAGAGGGTTCCACGTCCCCAGGGAGGCTGGGGGTGGTGGGATGAGAGGCGACTGAAAAAGAGGAAACCAACGGGAAGTGCATACCTAGGGTGACAAAGTCAGAAGCCAGACTTCGGAAGAGGAAGGAGGGAGGCCCAGAGATAAAGCAGATTGAGTAGGAGGGACAGAGACTGGCTTGGAAAGGGAGATTGTGACAAAGCAAGGCTAAAGGAGCTGGCGCGGGGGGTGGGGGGGGCACGGAGGCTAAGACACACAGAGACAGGGAAAGAGGGAAACCCACGTCTGCTCTGTGGCCCTGAGCGAGCTCTGTGTGTCCCAGTGACTAGCCCGTGTGCATGTTAGGGCTGTGGCTCTGTCTCATGTCCATGTGTGGCCACCTCACACCCTCCCTGCCATCTGCACGCCACCAGGTGACACACACGGCCCTGAATCACAGGAGGTCAAAGCTTCAAGGGGCAGCAGCATCGCCTCGGCCAACTCCCTCATCTCAGGTGAGGAATGGGAGGTTCAGAGAGGGCAGTGACTCACAGGAGGTCACACAGCAAGTCCACTTAACAACCAGAAGGCCCTGGTTCCACTCTGGGCTCCTGTTCCTCCTGCCAGCCCCTCTCCTTCAAGGTGAGAGACCGTGCCAGGAGATCCTGAACTGGCTGGGTGCTGTGGCTCATGCTTGTAATCCCAGCACTTTGGGAGTCATGAGGTCAGGAGTTCGAGACCAGCCTGGCCAACATAGTGAAACCCTGTCTCTACTAAAAACACAACAGTTACTCAGGCATGGTGGCGCAGGCCTATAATTGCAGCTACTAGGGAGGCTGAGGCAGGAAAATTGCTTGAACCTGGGAGGCAGAAGTTGCAGTGAGCTGAGATCGCACCACGGCACTCCGGTCTCAGTGAAAGAGCAAGACTCCGTCTCAAAAAAAAAAAAAAGAGACAGAGAAGGTCCTGAGTTCTGGCTTTTCTGCTGGACATTCTCTTCATAGGTTATGTGACTCTGTGCTGGCCATCTGAACTTTCTGAGGTGTTGTTTTATATGCGCTAGCTAATCCTGCCACCGCCAGTCACACGTGGCTGTCCAGTCTTGGATATGTCACAAGATGGAGGAGTTACATTTCTGTCTTTACATATATATATATATATATATATATACACATACACACATATATATACACATATATATACACATATACACACATATATATACACACATATATATATACACATATATATATACATATATATATATATACATATATATATATATTTTTTAATGGAGTCCCGCCCTGTTGCCCAGGCTGGAGTGCAGTGGTGTGATCTTGGCTCACTGCAGCCTCTACTTCCCAGGTTCGAGTGAGTCTCCTGCCTCAGCCTCCCAAGTAGCTGGGATTACAGGTGCCCGCCACCACGTCCAGCTAATTTTTTTGTATTTTTAATGGGGTGGGGGGGGTTCAGTATGTTGGCAAAGCTGGTCTCAAACTCCTGACCTCGTGATCCGCCCGCCTCAGCCTCCCAAATTGCTGGAATTACAGGCGTGAGCCACCCACACCTGGCTGGCTTTTTGTAATTTTAATTGTAAGAGCCACGTGTGGTTAGTGGCTACCTGCCATATTGGCCAGCAGAGGTCTCTAATTATCTATCAAGGAAGTTGGAAAACAATGATGAGCTCCTTTTGCTAGGTCTTAGAAGGTGCGGGCTGACTGACCTCTTTACTTACTGTGTTATCATACTTTTGCACACGTAGTTTTACAGATAAGGAGACAGGCTTCCTGGAGGCATCTCACATGGTAGTTAAGAGACCACCTCGCTTCAGATCCTCACTCTCCTCGCCTCGTGACTGTGAGTAACTGATTTCGTTTTTCTGTGTCTCAGTTTTTTCATCTATAAAATAGGTAGGATAACAGTGCCGACCTCATAGGGTTTTATGAGGATTAAATTAGTTGATACATTTAAAAGCGCTTCGAGGCCAGGCACAGTGGCTCAGGCCTGTAATTCCAGCACTTTCGGAGGCTGAGGACAGATTGCTTGAGCCCAGGAGTTTGAGACTAGCCTGGGCAACATAGTGAGACTCCATCTCGACAAAAAATACAAAACTTAGCTGGGCTTTGTGGCATATGCCTGTAGCTGGGAAGCTAATCTGAAGCAAAATGATCACTTGAGCCCCAGAAATTGAGGTTGCCGTGAGCTATGATTGTGTTACTGCACTCCAGCCTGGGCAACGGAGGAAGACTGTCTCATAAATAGATTAATTTAATTAAATTAGTAAAGAAAAGCCAGTCAGGCACAGTGGCTCACGCTTGTAATCCTAGCACCTTGGGAGGCCGAGGCGGGCAGATCACCTGAGGTCAGGAGTTTGAGACCAGCCTGGCCGACATGATGAAGCCCCGTCTCTACTAAAAAATGTAAAAATTAGCCAGGTGTGGTGGCAGGCAACTGTAATCCCAGCTACTGAGGAGGCTGAGGCAGGAGAATCGCTTGAACCGAGGAGGTGGAGGTTGAAGTGAGATAGTGTCACTGCATTCCAGCCTGGCCGACAGCGCAAGACTATCTAAAATAAAAGAAACACTCAGTAGATTCACTCATTCAGGAATGTTTATTGAAACCTCGACTTATGCCAGGAGCTGTCTTTGGGACTGGGGACACAATAGTGAACAAACCAGCTGTTACCATTCCCAGAGTCACAGTAGTTCACAGCAGAATTTGAATCCAGGTCTGATTTCAAACCCCAGGCTGAGGATTAAGTGACAACATCTCCTGCAGGACAGGAGGCCCAGAGAGTGTTCACAGAGGGTCTTGGCTTAGGGTTTCTTATTAGCAGAGTGAACAGGAACCAATCACCAAGTGGAAGTGGAGGATGCTGGGCCGTGGTCCAGTCTAGTTGTTGCTCATTGTCTCGTGGATCCAGTCCACATATTTGCAGACTTTGGTGTAGACACCAGGTTTTCGAGTGATCGCACACGGATCCTGGCCCCAGGAGATAATGCCTTGAAGAGAGTGGTTACAGACCAGAGGGCCCCCGGAGTCACCCTGTGCGTGGGGAGAGAGAACATCGATGAGAGAAAGCGCTGGGCATGGTGTTGGCCAGGGAGGAGGTGGGGATGGTGCTGGGAGTGGAGCTGAGACTGAGGAGGGGGAGACCCGGGGTTGGTGATAGGTTGAGGGATAAGGCTGGAATTATGGGTGGAAGAAACGATGGGGTTAGGCTCAAAAGCGAATCTGGGGACGGCTGGAGCTGGAAATGGGATGGAAACCGGGATGGAGCTGAAGTTCGTGCTGGGTCAGAAATGCGAACGGGGAGAGAGATGGATTGGTAATTGCAGGGGAGGTGGGCTGAGGTCGGCCATGAGGTTGCGGATGTCGGTGGAGATTTGCTCGAAGTTGGGGATGGGGTGGGCATGTGGTTGGAGAGCCAGGCCCTGCCCTCTGACCTGGCAGGAGTCCTTGCCCCCTTCCTGGACGCTGGCACACACCATGGTGTCTGTGATGTTGTTGGGATAGGCGTGCTCACACTCGTGGTGCTCAATGATGGTGATGTTGGCGCAACGCAAGCTGTGAGGCAGGCGCACTGTGGAAATAGCATGAGGGGCTGCAGGGTGACGGTGTGAGGACTCCTGCCGCCTCACCTAATGCAGTGCTTGCTGTGACCCAGGCCCTGGGAGAATCCCTGTCCTTAGACGCAGCCAACTCACCTCTCTGCTTGTAGCAATAGCAACAGCAGAGCTATCCAGACAGAGCCTCACTCTGTTGCCCAGGCTGGAGCGCAGTGGCATGATCTCCACTCACTAACCTCCGCCTCCCAGGTTTAAGCGATTCTCCTGCCTCAGCCTCCTGAGTAGCTGGGATTACAGGTGCACACCACCATGTCCGGCTAATTTTTGTATTTTTAGTAGAGACGGAGTTTCCCCATGTTGGGCAGGCTGGTCTCAAACTCCTGACCTCAGGGGATCCACCCCCCCCCCACCTCAGCCACCCAAAGTGCTGAGATTACAGGCATAAGCCACCGCACCTGGCCTGCTATCCAATGCATTATTTATGCCAGCTGCTCGATATACATTATCTCTAGTCCAATCCTGGCAGGTGGGTATAATTATCCCCATTTTATAGAGGAGAAAATCAAGATTCAGAGAGGCGAAGTCGCTTGCCTAAGTTCCTACAACCGGGAGTCATGTGTGTGACTGCACATCCCATCCGTCTGACTCCAAGGCCCCAACTTTTGTCCCCACCCTCCCCCGTCCTGAGGTTTTCCGCGCATCCCCTCAACTTATCCCACCATTGCCACTTTGAACCACAGCTCTGGTCCCCCGCCAACCCCTTCCACAATCAAGACCACCCCTTCCCCACCACCCCGGGCGGGGTTCCGCCTCTGGAGCTCCTACACTGGGGGCTGGATGTGCTGCCCCAGCCGGAGATGAGGCAGCTGGTGCCAGCGGTGACACAGCGCGAGGAGAGGGTGAGGGGTCGCACAGCCCAGGTGATGAAGGCTGGCGAGGCCATCTTCACCAGCATGATGTCATTGCGGTGATCTTTGTTGGGGAGGCTGTTGTTGAAGCCGGGGTGGGGGAAGGACTCGGTCGCTGTCCGGGTCTGCTCACAGCCGTCCCGCCGCTGCAGGTTGTGCTCCCCCAGGTGAACGATGTAGCGGCTGAGGTGGGAGAGACCGTGGTTGGAGGAGGAAAGGTGGGAAAAGACACGAAGTGGGGGGAGACGTGGGCGGGAGAGGTGAGTGACACCTTTGAGGGTCAAGAAACATCGTTCTACTTCCGGCCTCTTCCGTGTCCCCCAGCCACAGCCCCACCCCAACCCCATTCATCCCCCCAACTTCAATCCCAGCTGGAGCCTGTCAACCTTGCTGACAGTGCCCGTCCTGTCTCTGATCCCCTCCCCGTACCCCTCTCCCCCGAGCTCCTCTCCATCCATCTCTGCATTCCCAGCCCCCTCCCGGCCCCGCCCCAGCCCCCGCACCCACGGCTTGCGGCAGTGGGCTGCTGTCAGGAGCCATCTGGGGGCGATGAGGGTCGCCCCACAGAGCAGCCGCGTCTTCTCAAACAGGGCCGCCTGCCAGGGCTGGGAGTGAGGCTTGCACTCAAACCCCTTGATGATTCTGGTCTCTCCCGCTGCGAGCCCTGGAGGGGTGAGAGGAAAAGGAGGCGCTCAGGAAGGAGAGGTGGACTCCCAGAAATGGGGGTGGGGAGGAGAGAAGGAGGGGGGTGGTCCGAGCCTCGCCTGGTGTCCCTCTGGTTTGCACGCTGGATGCCGGGGTGGGGTGTTAAAGGGCGAAAATACTTCCACAGGGCCGGGCGCAGTGGCTCCTACCGGTAAACCCAACGCTTTGGGAGGCTAAGGTGGGAGGATTGCTTGAGCCCAGGAGTTCAAGACCAGCCTGGGCAAACATAGTGAGATCCCATCTCTACAAAAAAATTAAACAATTAGCCTAGCTTGGGGGCAGGCGCCGGTGGTCCCAGCTACCGGGGAGGCTGAAGTGGCTTAAGGATTCCTCAAGCCCGGGATGGCACCACGGCACCCCAGCCTGGACATAGAGTGAGACCTTGTCTCTGGAAAACAAATGAAACGTCCATACTGGTTCGTCGGTGGTCCCTGTCCTGCTCGCTTTGCGTGACACTCCCCCCGCCTCCAGCTTCCCCAGCCCTCCCCTGGGACCCCCTAGAACCCCTTGGCCTCTCCTCTCTCGGCCTTTATAGGGATTGTCTGAAAGGCCTGCAGACCCTCATGGCAGCTGCTCCCAGTTGAGAGGCCGTGTGGCTTGTTCTGTGATTTGGAATCGGCCCGTCTCGGTCCAGACACAGAGGGTTAGGGGATCCCAGAGACTCGAGAGGGAGGCTCCTGCCCTGCCCCATTCCCCGCCGTACCTGTCACCAGAGCAAGCATGATCAACTGCAGAATCCTCATGGCCTGGAGTGGGGAGGGGCGGGCCCCAGGTTCCTCTGGGAACAAGGAGGAACATGGCCGCATCACTTGAGGGGGAAGTGGGGGGCTGGCTCCCGCCCGCTCCTTTCTCCCGCACCTGCTCCTGCACCCCACTTGGGAGAAACAAGGTGGGGGAAACTCCCTGTTTCTCTCAGCGCTCAGACATCCAAACACTTAAAATGTATCTCAGGTGTCGAGGGTGGCCTTGGAGGGGACCCGGTCGCAGTTCCCAAGCTGCGGGGATACCAAGGACCGCGTGGAGGTTGTTGGGAGGGGCTTTGACCTGGCTAGCCATGGGCTGGCCGCATTCAAGTCAGCCATGGGGCCTCTTTGGCGCATTGCAGAGGATGTTTCCCTTCTTGCCTTGAGAGCTGGCCAGGCCCCAGCAGCTTGGGCTGGAAGGACAAGGGAAACCAGGCCCCGTTCCGTAGCCACCCCTTTTTTCATTGTCTTCGCGGCAGGGTGATATGGAGCCTTTGAGGTCTGCTGGCGGTGGGGTGGGGTGGGGGGGTGCGGGTAGGGATCTCAGTCCCAGACAATGTCTGTGCCTCCCGTCACCCGACTTGCTGAACCCCTGCCCCTTTGAAGGACAGCCAAGCAGAGCTGGGCGGGGCTGCTCGAGGGGAGGGCCAGTGCCCTCAGCTGCCCTGTCCAGCGGGGGTGGGAGCAGAGGGCCGGCTCAGCAGCTGAAGCCATGGAGATCAGAGGTAACTGAGGCTGGGGCCAGCCCTTGAAGGTGAGGGGCGCAGAGAGAGGCTAGGAACCCCCACCCAAGCAGAGGACAGAGCAGAGGGAGAAATGGGTGCCCGAGGGGGACAGGTGTCCTTGGGGAGGGCTGACACCTGGAGCAGGGGGCTTCCCTTTCCTCCTGGACTCACGGGATCTGGGGCTGGGGCTCCGGGGGCCCGGCGGTGGTGGCGGCGGCTGCAGCAGGTAGGTTGGGTTGGAGTGCCAGGTGCCAGGCACCAGGCAGGCGGGCAGGCGGGGGGTGGCCCCGGGCGGGCCCAGGATGACTGGCCTCCAAGCCCTGCCTTAATGCCCCGGGGCGGGGTGTGTTGGGGGGGGGCCCTCCCCGAAGGCCTCCGAGGCACTGCCTGCCTGCCTGTGCCACCTCTCCAAGCCCCTCTTCTCCCTGCGTCTCGGCGTCCCTCCGTCTGTCTGTCTGTCTGTCGTCTGCAACCTTCCTTTCCCTGCCCTGAGTCTCTGAATCTGCGTCTCGCCCCATGGGTCATTCCCCGTCATTTGGTAATTCTGACTTTGTGTGCGTGTGTGATTTTTCTTTCTGTCTCTGCGTGTCTGTCTGCCGTTCTCTGTCCTTGTCCCCGTCTTCCCCTCCACACTTCTCTCTCCATCTGGCTCTGGGTGGCCCTTTCTCCAATTCCTTCTGTCTCTGTGTCTCTGTCAGTCTCTGACTGCACCTCTGTCTTGCGATGTCTCCAAATCTCTCCCGCTCCATCTAATCTCCGTCTCTCTCTTTCCTTCTGTCCCAGCCACTCCCTCTCCACAGCCCTAGCCCAGGTGGGCCCCCTGGCCTCCCCCAGACCGCTCCCTTCTCCTTTGCAAGGTAGGGATGCTGGGGTGTCACAGAGGTGGGGCTGCTGCCAGGCACAGGGGCAGGACCGAGGAGGGTGGGGGAGGCAGGTCAGGGCCTGCGGAAGCCGAGTTCAGGAAAGGGAACAGTCCTCGGCTGCGCCCCACCCCAGGGCTCCTCTAGGGCCTCGCTTCCCGGCTGACCCTTCCCCTGCCCCCTTCTCCCTGCCCCCCAGTCCGGCTGTTCACTTACTGGCTGCTGCGAGACCTCTGCCCGATGACTTCCCGTCCTGCAGCCACCTCAACCTCTGCATCTGCAAAGCCCGTGCGCGGACTCCTGCTGCTCCCAGCTGGTCTGTTGTCACCCGGGTCCCTTCCCTGGGCTTTCCTCCCCTCTCTCCCCTAACCAGATATGGAGCAAGGCAGGGGAGGGCCCAGATTCTGACAGCAGCCAGCCCTGTCCTCAAACCTAGGTGCTTCCCCTTCCTGCCACTATGACTACCCTTATGACGTGGGGACAAGGGACTCCACCCCTGCGAGGCTCAGTTTCTTCATCTGAGAGATGGGGGTGACAGACCTGTGCAAGATTGCGGGGAGGCTGGGATCCAGCCTCCAGGAGGGTCCATTTGGAAAGAGCAGACTGCAGGGGGTGCTCAGCAAATGCACCTCCTCCACTGTTAGGATTGCCCGTCCCTCCCTCCCTCCCTCCTTCCCTCCCTCCTCCTGGTCCCCTTCAGTGCATCTGGGGAGATGTTCCCTCCTCACCTCCTGAGTCCCAGTGGAGACAGAGTCCAAGGGGTGGGCAGGAGAATTTTAAGATGTAGGCTGAGCGCTCTTGCTTTCCAAGGCTGCACCCCACCCTTCAGCATCGCATACATATTAGAACAAAGCCACATCCCACACTGAAGATACAATGTATACTTGATTACAAGAAAGTACACTGCCTTTGGCTAGTGGAAAGAATGTTACGTTTATGGACACTGAATTAAATGGTCATGAATATTGATTTAGCAGCTTTCATCTGGTATTTTGGAGCTAACGACTTTCTTTTGTTTTTTTTCTTTTTTTCTTTTCTTGGGTTGTTTGCGGACCATTGAAAAGCTTATAAGCTCTGGATAGTTTCTATCATGCTTGATGAAAAAACATGGCTCCTAGTTCTATTATTGGGTTTTTGTTTTGAGATAGGGTTTCACTTTATTGCCCAAGCTGGAGTGCAGTGGGTGATCTAGGCTTACTGGGGCCTCGACCTCCCTGGCTTGGGTGATCTTCCCATCTCAGCCTCCCAAGTACTTGGGACTACAGACACATGCTACCACGCCCAGCTAATTTTTCATATTTTTATAGTGACGGGTTTCACCATGTTGCCCAGGCTGATCTTGAACTCCTGAACTCAAGCAATCCTCCCACCTCAGCCCCTCGGCCTTCCAAAGAGCTGGGCTTATAGGCATGAGCCACCGCACCCAGCCTATATTATTGTAAGTAACTTCTACTCCATTTCTAAGTGACTACTCAGGGAAGATCCTCATCCTATTCGAGCTTTTTTTTTTTCTTTTTTTCTTTTCTTTTTTTCTTTTTTCTTTTTTTTTTTTTTTTTTTTTTTTTTTTTTTTTTTTGAGATGAAGTCTCGCTCTGTCACCCAGGCTGGAGAATGATGGTATGATCTCGGCTCACTGCAGCCTCTGCCTCCCTGGTTCAAGCGATTCTCCTGTCTCAGCCTCCTGAGTAGCTGGAATTACAGGAATGCACCACCACGCCTGGCTAATTTTTGTGTTTTTAGTAGAGATGGGGTTTCACCACGTTGGCCAGGCTGGTCTCGAACTCCTGATCTCGGGTGATCCACCCACTGCGGCCTCCCAAAGTGCTAGGATTACAGGCATGAGCCACTGTGCCTGGCCTTACTTGAGCTCTGTTTCTATACCTATGAGATGAGGAAACCGTTGAGTTCTTCTTCCAGTCTCAAGTAGCATGGGACATCAAATGGACAGACACGGCCTCTCCTTCATTTGTATTTATTCCAGACCATTGCACACTTCTCTCACCCCACTCATGGGTCTTAGAAGGGCTGGTAGGAGTTCAAGTTCCAAGAAGTTCCCCAGGCCAACAAGAGTGGGGCTGGGGGAAGTGATGGAGGAGGTATTGGTGCTCTGAGGGTCGGACTCGCACCCAAGCTAAGGGGTGGAGGTGGAGGATACAGGTCAGTTGTTCCTCATGATCATCCGGATCCAGTCCACATACTTGCACACATAGGTGTAGACTCCAGGGATGCCATCTTGTCCACAAGGCCCCACAGACCCCCAGGACACCAGACCTTGAAGGACTCCATCACACACCAGGGGGCCCCCAGAGTCCCCCTGGAAGGGAAGAGAAGTACTGTCTGAACAAGGGAGACATCTTATTCCTGTTTTCTTCCCCAACCCTCCAACCCAGTCCTGGGCCTTGGGGAGGGCTCCAAGCCTGGTCATCAGACAAAAGAGTACAATCACTTTCCCAGAGGACAATGGTGATGGCTAACCAACAGAGAGGAGCCACTGTCTCTGGGGGTCCATCCCAGGGAAGAAGGGCGGAGCTCCATAAAGAACAGAGGTTCTCCCAGGGACAATGACTGGGGCCCTGACCAATGAGGAGAGAGAGCACATTCATCAATGACCAATCCCAGGGGAGGATGTCAGGACTCCATTAAACAGTAGAGCATTTTCTGGAGGACAATGACTGGGCCCCTGACCAATGAGGAGAGAGAGCACTTCACCAGTGACCAATCCCAGGGGAGGAGGGTGGGACTCCATATACGGCAGAGGTTCTCTCAATGTGGACAATGGCTGGGGTTCTGACCAATGAGGGGAGAGAGCACCATCAGCAGTGACCAATCCCAGAGAAGGTGGGCAGGACTCCACAAAGAGCACAGAGTTCTCTCAAGGACAATGGCTGGGTCCCTGGCCCATGAGGAGAGAGAGCACCATCTTCCGGTCTCTCTCTGTCTGGGACAGCGCCAACTGGAGGATGGTATGGGAAAGACTTAGAGCCCCAGAAGCAGCTGGTTCCCTGTCTGGTTCTCTGTCTGGGCCCCCGGTCCTGTCTGTCTCTTTCGCTGCCTCTCTCTGTGCCTCCTTCCGCTTCTTGCCTTCTCTGTTCCCTTCCTCCCTCTTCTCTCCTTGACCCTCCCCATCTTCCATTCCCTGGTCTTCCCTCCTCTTCCCTGTCTCTCCCTTCCTTCTCCTGAGACTCCTCTCCATTCCCGACCCCCCCCCCCCAGACAGACTCTGTTGTCAGGCTGGAGTGCAGAGGCGATCTCTGCTCCTTGCAACCTCCGCCTCCCAGGTTCAAGCGATTCTCCTGCCTCAGCCTCCCAAGTAGCTGAGACCACAGGCATGCACCACCACGCCTGGCTACTTTTGGCATTTTTAGTAGATTCAGGGTTTCACCGTGTTGGCCAGGCTGGTCTTGAACTCCTGACCTCAAGTGATCCACCCGCCTCAGCCTGGCAAAGTGCTGGGATTACAGGCATGAGCCACCGCGCCTGGCATCTCTCCTTTTTGACCCCATCTCTCTCCAGCATCCCCTTTCCCTGATTCGTCCTCCATCACTTCCCCTCCTGCTTCCAGCCTCTCCCCTTCCCTTCCTGTCCTGGTGACCACACACACTGCCCGCGCTGGCTCACCTGGCAAGCGTCCTGCCCCTTCACACCACCTGCGCACACCATGTTGCTCGTGATTCTCCCGGGGTACACGTCACTGCAGGTGGCATGGGAGACGATGGAGAGGTTGAGGCACTGGAGCAGATCCGGGAATGGGTCTGGAGAGGGAACATCGTGCTGCAGGGTTCTCCACAGCTCCCCACTCGGAGGCCATGTCCCTCCCCCAGGATGTGGCCCGTCCAAGTCAATACCACTGCCCCCCAACAACCTGTACTACAATCCTGAAACCCCCAAATTACATATTTATGACTTAATTTCATATGACTCATGACCCCAGATGATTGACAGTCTCTTTGACCTTTGACATTTGACTTTGAGTGGCATAACTCAAGACCTTCCTTGTCTCTCCAGCCTCAGAGACAATAAATCCAGACGTGACCCTCTTCAATGACAGATACTGTGACCTTTGACCTTCTTTCTTATTACCTGATGATCCCAGCTTGATCTCATATCTCCTGTCTCCTGACCCCATGTCCCTGTGTTCACCTTAACCTCCAGCCTCAGCTCTGCATCTTCCAGACCTCGCTGCTGCCACCTCCAAAGTGTCCTCTGATCCCAGTTTATTCAACCCCAGGCTCCATGACCCCAAACCTTGGCCCCCGCACCCCAGCTGCTATGATCTTCAATCTCAGACGTGTGATTGTTGATAGAATTCCAATTTCCATCCTCAGATTCTGACCAGATTGTACAACCTCTGGATCCCATGACCTTAATTCTGCAGTGAGCTCTGACCCCAGAGACCATGACCCACAATGCCCAGATCCTTTTTCGATATAATTATGCCTTTTGCTCCCGTATGAGGACCCCTGACACACTCTGGCCTCTGACCGTATCTGTGACCTCTGATCTTTGACTTCATACCCAGTCCCTTAACTCCTTTGACTCCCAACACCCCAATCCATCACGATCTCTGATCCAGACCCACGCCCCTGACGTTCCACCCCACACGCTGGTGCTTTCCCCACCCTTGCTCTGAGCCTCTCACCCTGCATCCCTGTACCTACCCTGACCCCTGACCCCTGACCCCAGGCCCCTTACTCCACGGGTGGTTGGTGATGCCCCAGCCTGAGACGTGGCACTTGGTGCCGGCAGTGGCACAGTCACTGGGCAGGGGCAGAGGTCGAACACTGCTGGTTATGCGGGCGGGCAGGCCCAGCCGCAACAGCCGGAGATCGTGCTCGTGGTTCCTCGAGGCTCCCTGGTAGCCGGGGTAGGTCACGGAGAAGCCGCTGCGCCGGATCTGCTCGGTCCAGTCGAGCCTGCTGAGGCTGTGTTCCCCCAGGCGCACCCAGTACCTGCTGCGGGTGGCGGCGGCTCAGCGGGTGGCAAGCGGGCAGCCCCCACCTCGCACCCCTCCACGGACACACCCAGGGCCTCCTGGCACTCCCCACTGCTCTGCCTCTCACTGTCCTCTCACCCGTGCCTCCCATTCTCCCAGTCTCCCTTGCAGGCTCTCATTCCTGAACTCTGTCACCCTCTTTCCATCTTGGGTGTTCACTCTGTTTCTCCTGCCATGCCCTGCATCTGTCTGTCTCTCTCTCTCTCTCTCTCTCTCTCTCTCTCTCTCTCTCTCTCTCTCCCCCTCTCCTCTGTCTCTCTCTCTCTCTTTTTTTCTGAGATGGAGTCTTGCTCTGTTTCCCAGGCTTGAGTGCGGTGGCACAATCTTGGCTCACTGCAGCCTCCACCTCCCGGGTTCAAGCAATTCCCCTGCCTCAGCCTCCCGAGTAGCTGGGATGACAGGCACCTGCCACCACACCCGACTACTTTTTGTATTTTTAGTAAAGATGAAGTTTGACCATGTGT